TTCATCTACCTTTGTGTCTGTCTCTTTTACAACTTTAAAACACTCTTCTGTTCACCCCCCCCCTCTCGACTTTTTCACTTTGATGTTCCTCTTCCTCTGTGGAGACTGAAGTCAACTAAAGGGCTTATGATAACTATCATAAAGCCTGCCATTTGATATAAATAAATAAATATTTGATAATAAGTCATTAAGCACTTTAAAGCTCTTTCTTGACAACATTTCCTCTTAAAATTATGAGAAATTGGATTTAATATCCACAAGACGGGGTGCGCAATAGACTTACCTCCACGTGGTGCACCCTGGGTAACGTATACTCATACGGCAAAAAGTCTATTAAGCGGCAGTTGACTTCTGACTTCAAACTACCATGCCCCGACTCCTTACCATATTCGACCCCTTTCACAGTACACATCTTACCCTTTTCTCTACCTTTGTGTCTGCCTGCCTCTTTTACGTCCATGAATCGCTCTTCTGTACCCCACCCCTCAACTTTCTTCTTCTTTGATGAACCTTCCTTCTGTGAAGCCTGAAGTCAGCTAAATGGCCAATGATAGCTATCAAAACGCCTGCCATTTGAAATAAATAAATATTCACAAGACAACAGCCTACTCCGCTACAGGACTACCGAGGGATTCCACAATATTCTATCTTTACCCGCAAGCATTCCCTACTCTATTTTTTTTACATGACGTCATTATGACATTAGATTTTTCGCAGTTAAAAATTTAAGATGTCAGAGTCTTACCCTGCTACTTTTCATCCGTATCTTTTTAGTTCTTAGGCGGGGCTTCAAACAAAGTGACTTCCAGTACTTTCGATAAAACAAAATAATCTTCAAATTGATTGAATGATAACTCACATCCAAAGGAAAACTATTTTCTACCAGGGCACAAAATAGTCCACCCCTCTCTATAGAGGCCTAGATATTGGTTTTCAGACTCTCAATTTGTGAACCACCCCTTTTTGCGCCGTAATTTGCAAAATGTCCTTGAAATCAACCTCTTATCTTACGCCATATTCCCCGCATCTACTACCTGTCTTTGTACTAATTGAGTCATATCCTGATGCCTTGATAAACTTATCGGATTTTTTGTGTTCATTATCACATACGTACCTTCAGTTTATCTACCAATCCTTATCGCCGCACCCCGAAAGTGGAATGGAGTTATTGAGGTGGAGGATATTAATTCTGAATAAAACGAAGGATGAGTAGATAAACTCGTGGAAGGTGGTGTGGCGTGTTTTAGAAAACGCGCGCCTTTAGTTACGTTTCAACGTTAATCTTTTACATAACCCGAGGTCTGGTTTTTGACTCTGGTGGTCATCAGACCATACCTGTTATCGTTTGATTATTTTTGCACAATTTATAGTTTTCAGAATTTCATGGAAAAGGAGTTTGACTTACTTATTCTATGGTATTCTTTGTTTCAAAGCGCACTTTAACGCATACTAACAGTGTGAAAAAAAAACGACCTTCATTCAACAATTGGAATGAGGGTATCTGTCACACAGTTCGCTCCTAGACAATCATTAAAAGTACTCTCGATACGTAGACATTGTCTAATTCACTTGATTTCGTAAACTCGTTTGTACTTTTCCAAGGGTCAGCAATATTGATAAACAAAAATGTTTAAGTATGCTAGGACCTTAAATCAATTATTGATTTATTGACTCATTGAGTGGCAATTATACTCCCATTTCTGCTTATTAACAACGTTACTTAATCTATTACAATTTTACAATAGCCGGCAAATTAATAAACAAAATTGATTAAGTATGCTAGGGTCATAAATCAATTATTGATTTATTGGCTCATTCGTTGACGGGTTTGCTCGAAAACACGTGAACTTACCCGAATAACCTCTTCGGGATACCAAATAGCTGATTGAAAAACTTTTGAATCGCAATTATTGCATCGTTGGCCAAGAAGGGTGAAACGGAGGTTAAGAGCGTTCAGGTAAATTTCATTAGGATGGACGGAGAAGACTGCAATACCCCTCATTGATGTCCAAATATTTCCGCAGGACTGAAATCGAGAAAATTTGAGCTAAAAAGCAAGATTTTTTCTTACAAATGCCCAAATTTAACTCAAGAGCCAAATCGTCCGTTTATAATAGCAACTTAATGTATTAGTCAAAATTATGAACATTGAAAAATTTCGCACTTTTACAACCAACTCAAATTGTACAAATAGAAACTTACCTTCTCTATGGCTCATTTTGAAAGTCCTTTGTTTGTGAATCGATTTTTTTGCGAACATGACAATTGAAGTTAATTTTCCATCACTGCGCTTATCTTCGGTCTTAAATTTTAAAATTACCTTGATAAATTATGGCCAATCTATTAAAGATTTGAAAATAAAGTTGAGCCAAAACACGATTGCCCAAATCTTGGTTTTGAACAATCTAGACTTAAGAGCGAAAAGCTATTTTAATGCGCCCGAAAAAAGATGCAATCGCTGTTTGCATTTGCATTTGCTTCCTAATTTCAGGATAATTGAATAAAAAACAGATTATCTTGAGATTTCAAGCTTGTCTGCATGACAATTTTCCCAAATTAATTAACAACTGAAAACCTTACAGTTTTATTATCGATCCTAATCAAAATCAAAGTTGCACAATTTGACTAACTAGCATTGATTAACCAACTGTAGAGTTGGCTCTGTTAATTAAGGTGAAAAGTAATTTTAAGTCATAAATAGTATTGCGCAGTCACTTTTCTAAGATCGGCGTCCCATGGGGTGGTGGCGACTTTCATCAATTATTTTTAATGCTACCCGGACCTTTTTACAACATAAAAAATGACACCATTCATTGTCGTTATGGCAACAGCAAGCAATATACTAAGACTTTCTTCCTTTTGTCATGCTCTTCGTTTTGTATAGGAATCAAAAATCTTTAATCGATAGTTACTAATAGTTTGATTAGTTATACTTAAGTCGATATTTAGACATTAAGTAAGAGGCCACCAATTCTATCTGAATAAAGATGTATATTAAAGGTGTATCTTACGTACCTCACACTCGAATCGAACTTTGGCCTTAACTGATGAATTCCAGATTGGTGGATAGAAGACTCTTTCATCCAGATCCACGGGTCTGAGGTACCAAAATATTCCAGTGATGGCTGACAAAGGAGAGAATAGATTAATAAACTCTCCAATCCAGAGAATGTGGAGGCTGAAAAAGACGAGTCAAGTTAAACAACCCGACTTCTTTAGACACAATTGAAATGCTCAAATAGAGTGTTCCTGAAGCGCTTACTTATTATGCAGATTCTCGTCGATTAAATATAATGCATTCTCATCGCTGTCTTGACTTGAAAGAGTCCAAATGGAGGCTTTGTTGTATTCATAATCTGACAGGTACCTCATAGTACAGTGTAGACAAGTACAGATAGTTTGTGTACGTTCCTGGGGAGGACTTTCCGTCTCGGTATCCCATTGAGTTAGTGGTGTTCGCCTAGTCATAACGCCGCCGTAGACCAACTCAGTAGGCTCTGAAAACACTCGCTCTCATTTAAAAATATAAGCTATTCTTTAAGCCAATCAAATGTAGCACTATTGGCGCGTTACTTGTAGTGAGCAAATAGTAAAACACCCCCTCCACTTCCCACTCACTTCTCATTAAAATTTTAATCTTGAAAATACGCCTCCGCTTGTCCAATGAGCGTAATGCATTAATTACCAAATATTTATTTATATCAAATGGCAGGCGTTTTGATGGTTAACATTAGCCCTTTAGTTGACTTCGGGCTTCACAGAGGGGAAGGAACATCAAAGTGAAAGAAAGTAGAGAGGGGGTGGGGAGGGAACAGAAGAGTGTTTCAAAGATGAAGGTAGAAAGGTAGAAAAGAGGTGAGGTGAGTACTATGAAAGTAGTCGAATATGACATACAGTGGGATCATGGCAGTTTGAAGTCAGAAGTCAACTGCCGGTTAATAGACTTTTTTGCCGCATGAGTATACGTTGCCCAGGATGCACCACGAGGAGGTAAGTCTATCGCATACCCCAATTACCAAATATATAAATATGTATTTTTTAAATGAAATTTCGTTTTATGTACTTTGTCATGGTTTATTTATGGACAAATTTAGTTCGTTGTCAACTCAATCTCTCTTAGAAAAATAACAACACGAAATTTAATCAAATCAACTGAAGAATTCGATGAATTAATAAAATTGTGATTATTATTTAATGAAAGTATGTATATCTTAAATTTTTTCATGTTATCCAACTTCAGATTCAACATATTATGCCTTTACTATCTTCTTTGTATTTGCTACCCCAAATGAAGGTCAACGCAAATTCACGTTGTCATTCACGAAAACTTATTACCGTTCCAATTGAACCAAATACGCCGTATTAGCCCTTATATAAAAAGGTAAAGATTATGGAGTGTACAATGTTGCCATGGCTGAAAAAAAAATCGCGTACGCGCCCAGACAGACTCCAAGGTGCTGTCGTACAACTTGTCGCAAATGTGAGCGGAAACGCAGAGACCGCCGTGCCAGCCACCAATCGATAATCCCCGCATTGTTTAACAAGTACTTTGCCTTATTTTTTTAAATGACTAAGCTCTATGACAGACAAACGACCCAAGATAAATGCGGTCCATCATCACTTGTCTGTTTCCTCCTTATCTTTGGTGCTAGCCAATCCAAACTAGGAGAACTCCCCATATTGACTACCAAGCATAAATCAAGACTCGTTGTAGCAATCTGACTTCCCCACTTGGCTATCATTGGAGGGATTTTAGTTAACAAATCAGATTGGAGACTTAATACTGAAGAAGTCAAATCAAATTGAAGTCAAATGAAGTCAGCTTCGGAGAGAAAAAAACAAAATAGTGGAAAACGCTATGAGCTGCTGGGAGAAAAAAACAAAATAGTGGTCCTACAATGGATTCCTGGTCACTGTGGCATTAAAGGCGATGAGCTTGTTGACTCACTTGCTAAGAAGAGGACAACGATTTTGCAGGACATAGACCGGCTGACGTCTTTCCGCACAATGAAGGCCTTAATCAGAAGAGAATTCCAGAGTGGCACTCTCCGAATAGAGGAGAAATAGTGGACAGTGGCACTCTCCGACATACCCGGCTGGCGAGAATCGAAGCCGTTGCTGAGTTTAGACTACGTATCGGACAGTCCACACAATGAAGGCCTTAATCAGGAGAGAATTCATGTGTGCAACGAAATTAAAGCTCGAAACCGGCCGATGTCTTTCCACACAATGAAGGCCTTGATCAGAAGAGAATTTCAGACCTCAAGATGCAACGAACTCAAAGCTCGAACAAAGGAGAAATAGTGGACTGCCACGAACTCAAAGCTCGAACAAAGGAGAAACAGTGGACAGTGGAAACAAAGGGGAAACAGTGGACAGTGGCACTCTCCGATTAGAGGAGAAATAGTGGACAGTGGCACTCTCCGACATACCCGGCTGGCGAGAATCGAAGCCGTTGCTGAGTTTAGACTACGTATCGGACAGTCCACACAATGAAGGCCTTAATCAGGAGAGAATTCATGTAATGAAGGCCTTAATCAGGAGAGAATTCCAGACCATACCAACGAACTCAAAGCTCGAACAAAGGAGAAACAGTGGACAGTGGAAACTAATCAGAAGAGAATTCCAGGACCTCAAGGTGCAACGAACTTAAAGCTCGAACAAAGGAGAAACAGTGGATAGTGGCACTCTCCAACATAGCCGACTGGCCAAAAATCGAAGCCGTTGCTAAGTTTCGACTA